GGACAACCTGCACAAATAAAGAATATTGTTGCTTTGGACCCAAAATATGTACACCATGTTCTCCTCCTCTCCTTCAGTGTGGCAGCCTGATACCACTCTTGCCTCACACTTTTGAGTCAGGCCTGACTTAGATGGTAAAATGCAGGATCTGTCACAGGCACCTGGGTGGCTCAGTCGGTTGGGCATCTGCCTTCAGCTCAGGTCATGATCTCAGGGTCCTGGAATCGAGCCCCGCATCGGGCTCCCTGTTCGGCAGGAAGTCTGCTTCTCTCTCTCTCTCTCACTCTCTCTCTGTGTGCTCTCTCTCTCACTCTCTCAAATAAATAAATAAAATCTTTGCAAAAAAATAAATAAAAATAAAATGCACGATCTGTCTCTTTATCTTCCTGACAAGTGGAAGGCATTATTGGCGTTGATTAGGAAATGGACCAGCTCCTTGTAGAATGCTTTGGCGATGGGAACAGTGAACTCGGAGTAGGAGGGGTGCCCTGTGCAATCTTCACTTCACCTGCCAGAGCCAAAAACCAGGCAGACAAAACACTTTCTTGTGCTGGCCTTGTGTCACTCTACAGCATGTCCACCCCCACAAAGTGCCCATCCAGCTGTGATGTTCCTCTCGGGCATCTGTCTCTCCCTGCCTTGCCTCCCAGCCCCCAGGGGCTAGCCAGCCCACTCACTTCAAAGTACCGTCAATGCCTTCCCACCTTCCATTCTTCTCAGGTCCCAGGTCCACGGTCAGCAATAACTGTGGTACCGTGTGCTCGTTGTGTGGATGTGTGTAGTTCGTCTGTGGGTGGAGGAACCAAAGGAATGAGGTAAAGAGAAATACTTACTTGGCATCATCATTCCCTGTCCTGGTCCACTGTTTGCCTTTGCCTTTGTCTCAAGTTGTCTGTGGCGGCTGCTTGGGATTCAGATTTTGCAAGTAAAGAATCTGTGCCATTGCGTCACCTTCCAAACTGATAGAACAGCGGAGTGCCTCCCTGTGTTGCTTCAAGTGCAGAACTAAAGGGTGGAGGTGCCCCGTGGGGAGTGGATATTCCTGTGTTGGGCTTCCAGATCCAAGCAGAGGCAGGGAGAATGGCTTCCATTCCTTTTTAAAGAGTGGAGCAGAGAGAGTGCATAGCTGAAACTATCCCTATTGAGTTTGTAACTGTTCTTCAGTTTGGCTTCTGCAATCAATCACCTTTGTTCTGAAGGCTGAAAACTGGAGACAGTTCTACAAGCTCATATGCTTAGGCGAGGATAGATTTTAAGCACGTTGAGATTTCTGCTGCAGTAGAAGTAGTATTTCTGTTCTACCTGGTAGGACATCCCCTGTTTTTTCCTGGGATGACCCTGCTTGAGAAAAAGCGAGCAAGACTGAATTGACTTGGTCATGCTGGGGATCAGAACGAACCTTGATTTTGTCCAAGTGGCAGTGTATCTCCTCTTTCTTCACTTTATGGATTAAATGAGTATGGTGCAGTCACGGCCACTTGGGGGGGTGTTTTGTACTTGGATGCCATGAGCTTCTCCTTACATCTGTGGGAAAGAGCATGAGAACCTGGATGAATAAAGGATGACCCCAGAGGTCAGCACAGCATTTTGTACCAGTGTCATCAAGGTGGGCCGTTCCAGATGCTGTGGCAGTGTAGGTAGTAAGCACTCATAGGTCCTGCCAACGAGGAACTCTTTTACTGTGGTCAAAATCAGATCTTATTTTTTATTCATTTAAGTAGGCTCCACACCCAGTGTGGAGCTCAACGTGGGGCTTGAACTTACAACCCTGAGATCAAGACCTGAGTTTGAGATCAAGAGTCAGACACAACTGACTGAGCCACCCAGGCGCCCCTAAAATGAGAATTTATTTCATTCACTGGGAACCAGGTACCTAGAGCAATAAAATGCAGTGACTGTCTGAGATATTGGAAGCAAGCTGTATTGAGATTGGATGACTGCCAGTCTCCCCCACCCATGGAAAGTTGTCTACAGAATATCTCAGTAGGACCCCAGGAATTTAAAAGCACTAATATTTATATATGTATATCTATCAAGAATTAGGTATTTTGGGGTTAAATACAGTATAAAATTCCTCTTTACCCTTAAAGAATGTTAGCAATAAATAAATTTATTTGCGAGGCCAAGCAAGACGCTACTTCATGAGTAGACAGATTTATTTTGTGTATACATAGGAATCTGTATGTTATAAAGTCTGGTTTTGTAGTTCATGTTTAAAAGCTTCCTGTTTGATTGCTGGGAGATTCAAGAAAGTTCAAGTCTATTGTAATTTTAATACTGTCTCTACCTTCATGCTCAAGATCCGTAGAGAGGTTACAGAAGACCCTTTCAGCTTTGATTGTTCATAGCATTTGTAAATAAGATAGGCCTCTGATTACTTAAGGTTTTGTATAAAATATTCCCTGTACCTTGTTTTTAACTTTTTTTCTTGCTCCCATATTCATAGATGAAGAATCCTTTTTTCTTTTGCTCTAAATTGCATTCGTAATCATTTGTTTGTAAAGATGACAGTCTTTATAGAGAGTAGGCAAACACAGGATGAATGTAATATAAACTTTTATCCTATTTTTCTGCTTCGTTTTTTTATTTTTTACAGTAAGCAAATAAGTATATTCCATTTCCAGGTTTTATTTAGAGATTTCTTTGTGAGTTTTTTGTTTTTGTGTTTGTGGTTTTTTTTGAGTCACATTGTTAAAATCAGAACTTTCCTGCCTTTTCTTGGTAGGCTTTAAATAACTGACATAATTTTGAAAATTTCTTTTGTTTTTCTTTGTTTTAAATTTAAATCATTGTCTGTTTATTTTGCCCATGGTAGTGTACTAGTCATTCTATATGTTTGTTAGGAAGATTCAGTTTTGGGGGGAGCCTGGGTGGCTCAGTCGTTAAGTGTCTGCCTTCAGCACAGATCATGATCCCAGGGTCCTGGGATCGAGCCCCATATCAGGCTCCCTGCTCGGCTGGAAGCCCGCTTCTCCCTCTCCCACTCCCCCTGCTTGTGTTCCTTCTCTTGCTGTGTCTCTCTGTCAAATAAATAAATAAAATCTTTAAAAAAAAAAAAAAAGGAAGATTCAGTTTTTTAAGGTTTTCTTCAAGAAATACCATTTTTTAGATTTTAAGTTCTCATATTTCACCAGTATCCCTATTGAAGATAATCATTAGGTTACTATTTCTGTTGATTTACATTTTTTACTGAAAATTTTATTTACATACATAAACACTAATAATTGAACATCAAGAGAAAATCTTCGTAAGTGATTTAGATCAAATACTAAATATAAAAAATAACATAGCCATTTTTCTAGCAGTTAACTCGTATTTCAGCTAATTTGCTTAAATAAACAAATAACTTTGCTGAGATTTCCAGGGTATAAATCTGTCATTTGTAATTTCTTTTATTAACATTAGAAAGTTGATATGTTTAATATTCCTGTACTGGAATGAAAGAAGACATTGATTTGAATTAACACGAAATAAATTATAAAGTATCTTTTTAAAATAATCATACTATCTGATTTAATGATTATGAATTTTGAATTTAATAGGTCAAATATGGTTCTTAACAGATGAGTTGATAATATCACAATCCACCTTTATAATTAAGTATCAAGGGTCTGTTCTTAATCAGCAACTTCTTTAAGGCTGAGTAAACATGATCTTAATTACACTCATAGATAATGCTAAGGGATGTTGATTGTTCCAGTAAGGAAAATAAAATGATGCAGCCTGACCTTAAGAAATTATAAATATGGGAATGTTGACAAATGATAATAAGCAGCAAACCTTTAAGGGAGAGGATTGGTTCCCAAGTTAATATTGCTGAAAGGAATTGAGTTTGGTTTTGAAATGTATTATTTGAATATTGAGAAATGTTCCTTTCAAATATTCTGTGCAAACCCTCAAATAACGTCCACAATACCTAATTTAGAAGTCAGGTGAAAACTTCTCTTTGAAGCGCCTGTTATACCAGGTATATTCTGAATTAAAGAAGACGTTACGATAAACCTTAAATGGTGGTTGAGGGCGGCCTAAATGTAGGAGGACAGAATCACAGTGCCCTGAACCTTATTACAGGTGAATTTGATGAGGTGACCTGCTGGTTTTTACTCCCCCTTTTCTCACTGCTATACTGTTGATAGAGAATGCAGTGCCAGTCTGCACTGAAGGGAAAGTAGATGAAAAGGAGATAATATTCACCTCATCATCAACCAGTTTCCCGTTTATCTTATTCTTTGCTGCTTGTGAGTTACTTTCGAATCCAAGTAGGCATTTTATAACTTGGTCCTGGCAGAAACAGGAAAAAGTAGTTGCCCTTTGCCCAAATGTAGCAGTTTGTTGCTATTGAGTGGGTACCCAGGACAAAAACAGTAGGTAGTGTGCCTTTGGCAAAAGGCTTTCACTATTATTTTAATACCAACTGGAATCTGTTTTTATGATTCCAAGATATTTACCTTAATGAGGAATTTGAATGGAGTATACAAGATGAAAAATGAATCAGTAGTGAAATACATCTTGGGCATCGGCTGTTCTATTGACAAAAGGCACAAATGGGAAATTTGTCTAAATAATTAGATTTTTAATTAGTGCATCATTGTAAGATGAATGTCATTGCGCTTCATTGCATGTAATTTCGTATTAGAAATTTCATGTCAACAAAGATGCTACCTGTGGTTTGCTGATTGGAATCCTTAATTTATCATTTGGGTGTATGGCGTGTCACCTATTTGCAGTCAGGAGCGGAGAGAAGGCATTTGATTATAACTTCACTGGTGGTGAGGAATACTGATGGTGTTATGCTATATGAATACATTATATTTTCTAGTATTCAGGAGGCAGCCACCCCTCAAATATTAGTGAGTGCATATTAACTTGCAAAAATTTAAGCCACAACATGAGCAGATAGGTTGCTGAACCTCTAGTATGTGTTTATGTTGAATATACCTGGACATTACTGGCATTATATTTGCTTTTTAAAACTCTGATTTTGTTTTTCCTTTTGGCAGTTGCCGAACAAGCAACCGGAAAAGCTTGATAGGCAATGGACAGTCACCAGCATTGCCTCGACCACACTCACCTCTCTCTGCTCATGCAGGTAATGACTTACCCTTTCTTGAGTTGTGTTTTACTTCTTTTTGCTGGTTCTTAAAATAATCCAAGCATTTTGAAATTCAGGCATGTCTTTCTAGCTTATCTTGGTTTTCCTTTGTTTTATCAGTACATTGTTCTTTCTGATAAGTTAGCCCAACCCTCATCCTCTCTTTCAGAGTGTTTGGACACTGAAATTGAGAATTTCTTTTTATATGGAATCCTGTTTCAGTTATTTATTTCTCCATTTCTAAATCTGTGAATGATGCAAGACTTGTTTCCATGTTGGATTATTTTTGGGGAATGCAGATGTGTTAGTTCACATGAAGAGGGTCAGTGTTAAGAACTCTAGGGGAGGAAAAATATATTTTTCCTTATGCTTCTAAGTTCTCCAGTGGGAACCTCCTAACCAAAGACAGATTAACAAAAGAAGAGCAAACACATTTATTTAATAGAAGATTTCTGTGACACAGGAGCCTTCGTAAGGAAATGAAGACGCCAAGACATGGTTAACCTGAGTATATTAATGCTAGGTTTGATGAAGAGTGAAAAGTTGTGCAAGGACAGGACAGAGATGAGCTAACTCTAGTGAACTGGGGCAAATTGAGCAAGGGCTGTACGTTCACAGTCCTCTGTGTTCCTTGTTTTCAGAAATCAGGACGCTCCTTTCCCCAGGTAACAGGGAGGACCCCTCTTACACAAGGACTTGATGATGTGCTTTAGGTGCAGATCTGAAGAACCTTCCTGCACATGCCATTTCTCCTATTTCTTCAGTTTAAAATACTGTTGGTCGGGATGCCGTATTTTGAGGCCACGTGTCTTAACCTCTATCAGAACGATTCAGCATTTATTCTCCCTAAACTTGAACTTACCCGTTACTTACATTCCCTATTACAAATAATGCTGCTATGATGAGCAGTCTAGAATGTGTCTTCTCTAGTATGTGTGCAAGAGTTTATCTCAAGTTTTGCCTGGCAGTGGCAGATATAACTTATTTATTACATCTATAATCGTTATAGGGACAATGAAGATGAAGATATGAGACCTTGGCCTCAAGTACTAATTATAAGGAAGGTATAGCCATATTAGAAAAACTGTGTTGTGAAGATTGCTTTGAATATTGGGGTTTTGTTTTGTTTCTGTTTCCCCCCCCCTTTTTTTTTTAAGTTATATCCATGATGGTACAAGGAAGAGAAGGGTTAATTCCAACCAGGAAAGTATGGGACTGTTGAAGGAGCCACTTAGTCAGGATGCTGAAAGCCAGGCAAGACTTGGGCTGGTAGAAATGGGGGGAAAGGGGGAATTACCAGTGTGGCTGGAGTGGGGCATGTGTGTTGGGTTGTAAGACAATATGAAGGTGGAAAGAGAGATGAAAGAGAGTATAAGGAATTTTGATTTTGATTACCTTTCAAGGATTTTGAGGAGGATCTGTGTTTTGAGAAGCTGTCTTGAGGATTGTGGAGGATGACGGGTGGGAAGGATGAACGAGTAAGCCCTAAGTCATTGTACTCTGGTAGAAACTCTAACCCTGATGGGCTTTCAGATGATACTCATTTCCTACTTAAAAGCAGGGCTGTGACTCTTTCCTCAAGGGTTGCTTTCAGTTGAGATTGGGAGTTACCTGTAACATGTTTGGGGAGAAGAAAGGAGAGAGAGAGAGATAGTTGTCCCTTTTGGAATGCAATTTTATTTTCCCTTTAGTGATTAAATAAAAGACGGCAAAGCAAAAAAGGTAAACCAAGAATTGATAAAATTCCAATACTAAAGCAAGACTACTGAAGTTCAGAAATGCCATTCCTAGGTAGAACTTAAGAGAAACTCTTGCATATATACACAAGAAGGCATGTTCTAGACTGTTCGTAGCTGCACTGTTTGTAATAGCTGAACATCTGAAGCCACCTAAGAAGCTTTCGATGGGAAAACGGGTGAACGAGTTGTGGCATAGTCATCACAGAGCACTGGGCACCCAGAAAGTATTAGAGCCGCACGTGTCCGCACGGATGCAACTCTGAGAGTGTTGGACGGCAGAAGCTAAGTTGCAAAAGAAGATGGCTGACACCATTCATGTAAGGTTAGCGTGAGGCTATAAAGAGAATTTTGTTTAGGGATACACACATATACTCATAAATGTGTATATACATTTCTTTTAAGAGTCTAAAGGAAAACATGATCATTTTAAAGACCAATTTCATGGTAGTAGTTACCTCTGAAAAGGTGTGAGGGGGATGTCATTCGGGGGTGGGGTGAGCAGTTGGTAATAATGGATTTCCCCAGTTGCTTGATGAGCACCCAGCTATTTCTATTATTACCATTTATACCATGGGGATCTGCATTACATTATCATCAGAACAGTAAAAGGTGACTTGAGGGGCAAGCAAGGCCAAATACCTACTTGGGGGTTGAAATTCTATCTTTTTTTTTTTTTTTTTTAAGAGTTACAGTCTTTTATTTTTTTAGAGGGAGAGAGAGCACGTGCACGTGTGGGGCGGGGGGAGGGGCAGAAGGAGAGAGAGAATCTCAGTCGGACTACACGCCCAGAATGGGGCCCGACGTGGGGCGCGATACCACCCTGAGATCATGACTTGAGCTGAAATCAAGAGTTCGACGCTTAACTGACTGAGCCACCCAGACGCCCCTGGAATTTTATCTTTATATTCACCCTGCACAGTGCCCAGCAGTATATACAAGTGCTAAGTGTATCATGAATTTTGTTTCTTACGTGTAATTCAGTAGTGATTAAAAACTTCAATCCTGGGGGGCCTGGGTGGCTCAGTCGTTAAGCGTCTGCCTTCAGCTCCGGTCATGATCCCAGGGTCCTGGGATCCAGCCCCACATTGGGCTCCCTGCTCAGCGGGAAGCCTGCTTCTCCCTCTCCCACTCCCCCTGCTTGTGTTCCTGCTCTCGCTGTCTCTCTCTGTGTCAAATAAATAAATAAAATATTTTAAAAATAAAAATTAAAACTTCAATCCTACTCCTTTCTGTAGTGTTCTGTAGTAATTGAGCCCTAGTTTATGTGCCTGTTGATGAGTCTTATTGCTGTGATTTTCTTCAGTGCTAATATCGAGAGTAGAGAAAATGTGGTGAAGACTTTAATGATCCTTTTAATTATTTTTCTTTCTCTCCATGTAGACTTAGCTTGAATTCTTTTCTCTTCAAACGTAATTTTAGCATTTAATCAGAGGAGTGGGCGGAGAGAAGCCCGTCTGTCAGGTTCTGACAGCATTTTCCCTTCAGTTGAAGAGCCCACAGGTTTTTATTCGCTCAGAACCTGTAGAACTCTGTCAGACTTTCTTTGTGAGAAATGGTATTTATCGCAATCTGGTAGTTTCCTATTTACATAGAAGAAGAGAAGGAAAACGTAAATTAAATAAAGACCAGTCCTCCTGTCTTGAGGATGGTGAGTGCCTGCGCACTCACCTTGCCTCATCACCTCTTCCTTCCCGTTGCTGTCTTCTGTGTCATGTGTTTCAAGCACAGAACGTCAGCGAGAATTCCTACGTGGCTTTACAAAACACAAGAGAAGGAAAAACTACCATTTTTCAGTGCTTTCTGACCCGAAGATGAAGTTAGACTTTCTTCTTTTTTTTTTTTTTTTTTAGGTCAGGATTATGTGAATCAGGCCACTCCTCACTGACACATGAATTAATCCCCTGTCAAAAGAATTAGTAGGGATGCGAACGTGAGTTGATTTGTGTGGATGTGTCAGTCGTGCTCTAAGGAAAAAGAGAGCCTGGCATAGTGTTCTGGAGCTTATCTCTACAAATAAAATCGTGTTTGCTGAGAGCCAGGGATTCCTAAAAGAGCAGTGAATAGGAGTCCCATTAAAAAAAGAAAGGTAGAAAATCACAGGCCCCTAGTTCCAGGAAGATTCTAAGCATGAAATTTAATCCAGAAGCCCCAAAGGAAAAGACTAGTATATCTCCCGTAACATGAAAATTTCTCTGTAGTAAATAAAATCAAAAGAAAACAAAGTGTGGGAAATGTTTTTATGCCCATACTTGATAAATACCTGATTGCATTAATACATACACAAAGAGCTTGTATAAATTGGAGAAAAATGGGAAAATATGTAAGTGGCCCTTCATAGAAAAAAAATTGAAATGTCCCCCCCAAAATAAGAAATGATTCATTGGAAACATGAGAGAAACGTAAGCCATAATAGAGTATCATTCACCTAGCATAATGTCAAAAATTTTATAAAATTGACAGAACCCAATGACAGCAAGATTGTAGAGAAGGAGGCCCTGCCATATGATAACAGTGTCGATGTGATTGGTGCAACCATTTTGGTTAGCAGTTTGCACTGTTGGTTAAAACTGCAATTGCATTTACCCTTCAGCCCAGCCAGTTCATCTCTAGGAAATTATCTGGTGAGATTCTCACGAAATAACAGAAAATAACAAGTCCAGCTACTTGTAAATAGCAAATGGAAAGTGAAGTTGTTACCACTTCATCACCTAACATCATTTAACTGTCCTTCAGGAGGGGACCGGTTTCGTAGAAAATGACTCAGACGTACAATCCAGCACTGCATGGTTGTTACAAAGAGTGAGATAGACTTTCATGTTCTGATATTAGATCGATGCCCAAGATAGATAGTTAAGTGAAAAATACATTGTGTAATTTTGTATATATATATGTGTGTGTGTGTTTTAGACTACATATATGCATATAGGCACACTTGTATATCATGCATAGTCATAGGAAATTTTTGGAAGGAGAAAGGAGAAACTTAGCATTATTAATCTTTGGGGAATAGGAAGGTAGGGAAATTAGCATATAGTGGTTTTATAATAAAATAAGGCTCTAAAACTAAACCCAATAAAGAAAACAAAACAATACCCACCTTAGTTTTCTCTTGTTGTGTAATAAATTACCAAAGATTTAGTAGCTTAAAACAGTATCCATGTATTAATTTTATGCTTCTGTGGGGCATAAGTTCAGGTACGCTTGACTTGCTTGAGCTCAGGGGGATTTCAAGGTATTGTAAGGCCAAAATCAAAGAAA